ACGATCACTTTATCACACCCGTGAGTTTTAACATAACCATGAACGACTTCCAAATCATAATTCAGAAGTTTACGGCCCTGGCAGGTTAGCAAGAATAGATCAGGTGAAGATTTAGAAAGATTTGACTTACATCTTGCTCAAGGAAATTGTCATTCTCGTCTTCGCCATTTGACTTTTGATGGGTTACATCTCTGATCAGCTTTTTAAGTAGTGTCTTCAAATTCGACGATTCTCCGGATCTAAGGGTGACAACAGGACCATTAAATTCATTGGAAAGTCTCGTTGAAAGTTGCTCAAAAAGCAAGCCTTGAGATGCGATATTTGGACCAGTTACAATGAACCCTGCTGGGACTTTGCCTATGCTCCTTTGAATGTCTATCAGACTCTATTAAACTGATTGTACAAGACAGTGCATACCTTTCATTCTCTACAAAAGATGTGACCTCTGACAAAGTGCCCTCATTTGCTTCATTCAGGATCGACTTCCATGGTATTAGCCAGTTATGATGTTGAGATCTTGTGGCTTAGAATACATACCTGAATTTTGGTTTCTGTTTCCGGCCAATACTTGTTAAACAAATTTAGACGTAGACTTGAAAGTTCATGAGACTCCTTCTCATTAAATAATGGTGCAAGTTTGAAAGGCTCTGCATCGTCATTGATCTCAAGGGCTTTTGTTGCCGCCTTTCCCACCTTTCTATGTTTCTTAGGTCGCTGGAGTAGGTCTTCTGAAGGTACAGAAGCAGGAGTAAATACATAGGCCGCCTATTGAAATTTAGTTCGGTGCAGAGTCAAATTTGGAACACAACTTACCTGATGCTCTGTTCCATCAAATCCAGCAAGACTAATAGTATCCCCGTTTATGGACATTTTCAATTGATATAAATCGATTGAAAAAGAAAGGGGTACGCGTGAGATTTTGACGTGGTCGTGATTTGTTGTCGCGAATGGGAAGCGAAGTCATGCTGCGCAGTGCGCATCATAGCTTATCAAAAAAAAAGTTTCCCGCACCTCAACTTTTTTTGTTGGACCCATTAACATCAATACTTATGCCGCCGCCACCCACCAATTTCACTTCTAGTATTCGTGGTTTCGTATGCAAGTCATGCCGAATAAAACTACAGATCCCCCCTCGAGCACCATGGCTTTCAAGACATTTTACGGCACAAAAAACCCCGCTGAGGTCGATAGATAGAGGGGGAAAAGTGCCACCGCTTGCCTTGAAGACGGAAACGCAACAAGTTGAGCAGACTGATGAACCCTTTTACAAATACTATGACGAGACTCCGGATGGTGTTCGAACAGAAGCGCAGATTGACCCCGAAGAGGAGGAATTGCTGGAAGGTCTTCAAGAGGCAGTTCGAGAAATAAAAGAAGATATTGGGGAATTTTCAGCGGAAGAACTTGAGGAGGTTGATGACGATGAAGAACCAAGCCTTCATATGGAGGAATGGGAAGACGCAATGGATGCAAAGATAGAGCGCCTACAAGCCGAGGTGGATAGACTAGAAAGCATTACCAACAAGCCTGGCCCTATGTCAGAAGAAGACCGGCAAAAGATACGGAACTACTTTTTAAAGTCTGTCGAGGAAGGCAAGTCTCACTGTACTGACCCATAGTACGTCTGCTAATTGTCGCAGATGAAGCTGAGACTTCCACAGAGTTATCTCCACCTCCGAGTTCTTCCACAACACAACAGTTTCTCGCCCCAGAACCAAAGCCAAATTCTATCACCAACCAGAGATCTAACTCAAATTCTATCTTTATTCCAGAAGAGTCATATCCGGTCTCAGCCCGACCTCATTTAAAAGCTTTGAATAGCATATTGCAGAAAATTGATCATCATTATGGTCGTAGCAATTTTCAAATGAATGAAAACCTAATGGTTAAGTTATGGAAGCAGTACATTTTATGCCGAAAAACTATATTGTCGGATCCTGGTGAAGTATCCCCAGAAACGTGGAAACTTCTTTGGGGTTATATTTCATTGCCAGACCCGACAAATTTGGACCGCATGGCGCATGTGAGACGACTGGGGTTAGATATGCAGAAAGCGGGTTTACACCTCGGAGGGCCTACATTGTTGTTGTACATCGAAGCTGTCTTCGTCGAAGGAGATCCAAGGACCGCAATTGATCTATGGAAATCCGCTTGGCAGACTTTCTCTAAAGATGAAAGTCTCTTGGACCAGTATTTGGAGCTTGGTACTCGGATGTTTGCCGAGAACGGCAACATCGATGAAGCCAGAAAGGCAGCATCGATTGTCATACAAAGATCAAACAATCCCCACAGCGCTCGTATTCTTATCCACACAATACAGGGCTGCTTGGCGTCAACAATTAAAAATCGTACGCTGGAAGCTTGGAATATCTACCTTGACTTTCGAAAGTACATGAAATCGAGTATGGAGATGGAGGATTATGATGTAATCAGCGGACTTTTCATGCGAGCTGGTAAACATCATGAAGCATTAGCAGTCTTTAAAGATATGATGCTCTCGAGAGATCCTGCTGCTTTGCAGTATGACTCACTGACAACACGAGATTATGAGGATTTTCCATCCATGTTGAACAATAAATATTTCTTTGGAAAATGGATGAAGAAGCTGATTGGCAGTGGCGATCTTGACGAAGCTAGCAGAGTGCTCGATTTAATGCGGGATTTCAGGATCTGCCCTGATGCCAAATTCACAAATGGGCTTATGGGTGCCTGGTTTCGTTCGGGCAAGTTAAAGAACCGAAAACTGGCCGAGGAAATGGGCTGGTCTATGATTGGAGCAAGACTTGATTTCGTCAAGGCTCGAGATCAAGGCGTCAAGGTATTGCTACCCCCCTTAACGGCTGTGAAGGGGACAAACAAGCGAGAGTACAAACTTGCCAGCTTCAACCTTCACCCCCCTGCAACAATCGAAACATTCGCAATTCTTATGGACCACTATGTGAAGGGGCAGAAATATGAACCACTTTTGGACCTTTACACAACATTAGGAAAAGCAAAAATTCCAGCGAATACCTACTTCATGAACACAGCAATCAAAGCTGAATCAAAATCCTCTTTGGACACCAAAGAGATGTACTACACCTTCGTCAGCGACGGTGTGAAGCCTAACATTGAGACCTTTTTGCAATTGTGGCAGAGTTTAAAGCAACGGAATATGCAAAGACATAGACCCCATACATTTTTTACTCCCGCAGAACTGTTCGCAGAAATGATGAGATGGCGACATGAGTTGAAGGCAGAGCTTGGAAAAGATGATTTACCAAAGGACCTTTATAACTCCATCATATTGAACTTTGGTTTGGTGGACGACCAAGCAGGAACTGCAGTTGCCTTACGTGCCATGCAAAAGTATTTTGGAACATATCCTACGGATGATACCGCACGCAGCATTGTTTTACAAATAACAGCAATTGGCGCTACGACTGGACCTGCACTGCGACGTCTCAATATCAATACGGGTACAAAGGAGAGAATACGACAAGTCACGAAAGTGCTAGCAATGCTCCAATCGCGAAGAATTGAGGCTTTAGCGGAGTTAGGAATCGTGTATGATGATTTGCGAGAGCAAGCAAAATCAGAGGAGGCATTAACGTTATTGTCAGACCTTCTACGTATCGTTGCACTCCAAGTGAATGGTGGCCAAGAAGGACGTATAGATATTGTCAAATCATCCCAAACGGCAGCGAAGATGATGGGTGTTCCTGATTGCGTTCCTTGGATGGTGTACAACACAGCAGATGAGGAATTGTTGGATGTGTAAAGTAGAATAGATATTCCCCAACACATGTAGAATAACATACAAATACCCAATGACTTATTTTTAATTTGTAAAGAGTCAATTACATTCTTGCTTTGCACTATCTTCCTTGGTGAATGAGAATACTAGATATGTGGAGATGATCACTGGTGGGTGAATTGCTTCAATGCCTCCAAAAATGCTATAGAATAAACAATTTAGATTACTTACCTAGGTAGCTATCTCATAAATACCATAAAAGAGTATTCTACAGAGGATACAAGGTCTGAACTAACCACGACAGCCTCATCAGTAGTGAATCCAAAGGAACCTTGAGGATTAGCACTGAAGCCATACCTCGGCATTAATTTCATTGGTCAATTCCAAGATATTGCCCAAGGCGGTGGAGCAATTTTTGGTGCGTAAAATCGACAGCCTCGAGACAACACCACAGCCTTTCCCCAAATATCCCCAAACGCCCCTCACCATTGCATCTCAGTCATTGCTTCCCAACGCCCGGGACAATTTTTTCCACAATCGCGCAATCTCTTTCTTTCCAAATCTGCAATCGAATTTACGAGTTTCCCAAAAGCCCCAAAGTTGGTTTTGCGGGTAGACGTGCAACAACACTTTTTTGAGAGCGGAGGAGTGTTTTCGATTGGTTGTTTTTCTCTGCGAGCATAACATAATAATCATATATATTCATCCATCATGACGGAAGAAGAACTAAAAGTCGCAGAAGCTTCGAACGAAGTTGCGCAAAAAGAAGAAGAAGAAGAAGAAGAAGAAGAAGAAGAAGAAGAAGAAGAGGAGGATGATTACATGAACATGATAATATCCGAGCCGGTCAAACCGCGACAGAAGGAAACATATACCCAGCGACGACAGCGCATACAGCGCGAATCGGAAGCGCGATCGCGGACCAAGTCGAAAGCCGAGATAGCGGCTGAGGAGAACGCTGCGAGGGAAGAGGCATTGTCGAAATCGATGTTGGAGGCGCCGGAGAATGCGAAGAGTAAGGGGTTGAAGATGATGGCGAAGATGGGGTTTAAGCCGGGAGTGACGCTGGGGGCGAAGGATAATGTGGGGGCGAGGTTGGAGCCGGTGGGGGTGACGATTAAGGAAGGGAAGGGGGGGATTGGGTTGGATGAGGAGAAGAAGAGGAAGTTTAGGGAGGAGGTGGAGAGGGAGGGGAAGAGGGTGAAGGCTGAGGAGGGGGAGTATAGGGAGAGGGTTAGGAAAGAGAGGGAGGATGCGAGATTGGAAGGGATGGTTGGCGCGGCGATGAGGGTTGCGGAGAGGATGCATGGGGAAAGAGAGGAAGGGGAATTGGAGAATGCGGTTGAGAATGCGAGCGAGGGATCTGGGGAAACTAAAGACGAATTGAAACGCAAAGTATCGACCAAACCGTTGAAGCAGATCAATATTTTATGGAGAGGATTGGTTCGGAAGCGCGAAGAAAAGGAAAGGGATAGAAGGATGAGATATGATCTACAACAAAGTTTATCACGCTTACCGACCTACGATGATGCGGACGAAGACAAGGATGATAAGAGAGCACTCGGGAAGGACAGGATCCAGCATACTCTTGTGGAGGATTTGGAAGAAGAGGACCCTGAGCTTGATGCTTTCAATCTACTGGAACCGGCTGAGAGACTGCAAAAGATTGTTGAACATTTGAGGTCGCAGTACAATTACTGCTTCTTTTGCAAATACACATATCCCGACGATTCAATGGATGGCTGTCCAGGTTTAACGGAGGAAGATCATGATTAGCGATCATTAATGTATATCATGAACTCTTTAACTGTAGTATGATACCCATCATCAATCCGTTTTGATCATTATTTTTAAGCCATTATACCTTGAATCCCTACACAATGCTTATGATAAGAGGAATTCATGGGTATCAATTGTCTTTTAACTGTGCAACCATTTATTTTTATAGACCTATCTAATCCCTTATGACTTGTCTAGTCTGACAGCTGGATTTCTCTCGATGAAATTCAAATCAACCTTGTGACCTAACAATTCTCTGATATTGTTCACCTGAGAGACAGATTAGATTGATTTTATAATTCAAGAGTGCGAGGGAAATCTTACCTTATATTTAATCATAGTTGGACGCTCCAAACTTAATCCCCAACCAAAGACTTTCATATCTTTTGGTAAACCCACTGCCTCCAACATTTCTGGCCTGAACATTCCACTGTTTCCGATTTCAACCAGTTTGCCGAGACCCTTGTGGTAACTGAATATCTCCATACTTGGCTCGGTGTAAGGATTATAAGCTGGCTTGAAACGCAAGTCTTCCAGGCCCATCTTGTTGAAGAAGACCTCCATGAATTCCATAAGACCTCCCAGGGACAATCCATAATCTGCAATAACACCCTCGACTTGGTGGAACTCAGCGAGATGGGTAGCATCAACAGTCTCATTACGGAACACACGATCGATGGAGAAGTATCTTGCTGGCGGTGGTCGTCCATCGGGTCCCTTTTGTTGGGCTAATTTGTGCAGCATTGCTGTCGAGGTCGCAGTCGTATGAGTTCTGAGAACCAATCGCAAAGATTCATCCGCAGCCCAAGGATATCTGTAACCAATTGATCCATATTTTCCTTCTTGGTGAACTTCTTGTACATTCTTCCACAATGCCTCATAGTCAGCTTTATCCTCCCCATCTACTGCGCGTGGTTTGTCTGCAGTTTTAGGATCCGAAATATAGAAAGTATCTTGTAAATCTCTCGCAGGATGTTGTTGTGGAACAAAGAGAGCGTCGAAATTCCAGAATCCGGTTTCAACGAAGTTATTAGTGGGCATTTCCTCAAAACCCATTTCGAAGAAGATTTGGCAGAATTCATGTCGTACTTTATTTAAAGGATGTAATGCACCAGAGTTTTGGTCTGCTCCAAGAGATTTGAAGTTATATGGTTTGAAAGCGGCAGTTTTCCAGGCACCCCTAAATATGTGAGTACTTTTGATATCTCAAAGTGTCGCTGAAACCTACGATGCAAGCATGTCCGCTGTCAAATCTGTCTCTTCCTTAACCATTTCCAGGGCGAATTTGGGTCCTTTCGAGATCTTATAACTAGTAACCTTCTGCATCTTTACCAGCTTACGTTTCTTGAGCTCTGTGATAACTTTTGGATCTGGATGCGCACGAGTCTTTTGGATAATTTGGAGCTGTTCTCGAGTTGTGTCCTGGATGGAATCGGTCTGCAAGACTTAGAACGAACTGTATAGAATTTGAGAAAAATAACTCACTGATGCTACCAGCTTTCCATCTTTACCTTTCGCAATCCATTTCGACTTGAATGCTTTACCTTGACCAACCTTGACAACGTTCTTATCTCCCACAGCAGCTTCTAATTCGGAAACTGTGAGCCCATCCATTGCTTTTTGTAGAGCCTCAAATACTCGTGCCTCGTGACTGCCATTGTTGGCAATTTCTTCAGCCTCTGCTTCCAGTATAACTTCTTCGCGATCTATTGTTTCGTATGTGATCATAGACCTTGAACCAAGTCTGTCCAAAGCACCTTTGATGTCGGTGGACTTTTGAGAAGGAAATGCTTCCGAGGAAAGGATATTGTCATTTTTGGAGAGCGCTTGAAGAATCTCAGACGGTAAATCGGACGCCATTTTTGGAAGAATTACAAGGTGGTTGTTACGATAGTAATAATAAATGTTAGAGGTGACTCAATCTCAATAATTTTGAAGGTTCAGGTGTTGTGGATGCCTTGAAAATAATTAAGGCATTAGGAGGGGTTTTTATCCGACCCCTCACTCACTCTCTCTTCACTCACTCATCTCACATGTTTCTTCACGCTGAGGTAGATGTCTATTCATGGTTGTATGTTGAAATGGATTGGCTTTTTGAAAACTACTGATTTTCAACATCTCAAATTATATACATATATACATACATATATATATCTCTCTACCTACGTATGCCGACTAGATAGCTAATTCGTTGTAATCACGTGACTTACTTGCTTTTCATTTGTCAATTGTTCAGTTGCTTTTCAATATCACCATCGTACCACCCTCAAACAAAAAAGAAATCCTATATTAACTTAAATTGTCACTATTTCAATGTCTATCTTCAAAAGCAAGCATATTTATCGGCCAATGTACTCAAAGTAGGTTTACTTTTCAAAGTTATCAACATTTTGAAATGAATTGTTTTCAATTTATGAAAAGTACTTCGTACGCACGACACTGTTTGTTGTCCGGCTTCTTCCGGGTCAAGTAGTCAGGCCCAACCTGCCAGGGCACTCTGACGCTTGCATTGGTACTATTTTTGTCCCACCAGATTCGAGAATGCAACGAATATACCCAAGATTGGGGCGGGGGAACTCCAATGTCACCAAAAATGATTCTTCATCACATCACATCACGGCATCTCGTATCGGTAAAGAGGTCCCAGCGGTATTTACGGTATACTTTGTGAGTACAGTACAACCGTGTACAAGGATCTCGCCCCTCGTCGCATTGCGAAACGCCAACAGCTGTAAGGTTTTGTCCATGTATATATATATATATCTCTCTCTCTCTCGTCTACTACTTGGCTGTATGCGATTTTCTTTACTTGTTTGCCTTTAGCTATTCCATGATACCAATTGCCATTCCTTGACCCCAAGTCAAGTATTGAGAGATAATAGCCACAAGTGTCACTTACAGCCAGGAGATCTCCACTACATTACCACCTTGACTGGACCTATATTTCACCCATCTCCTCGCACCAAGATGTGTTTAGGAATGAGTTGCTGCACCGAAAAAGCACAATCTTCAACTGGCTTTCCTACGTCCTTCCCCTTATTCGCAAAGTTACCCACTGAACTTCGTCTCCAAATCTGGAACTACGCCATCTTACTCGCCTCGCCATATATTGGGCTATCATGGTCCCCATCAGAGAATCGGTTCATTTCTGATCGGAAGCCTCCTCCTATACTTCATACCTCAAGCGAGTCTCGTTCAATATCACTTGCTTATTGGACTTTCTCATCTCCCATCTTCTCTCACACCTGCATCAATTATGATCAAGACTTCTTGTGCTTCAACTGGCCATCAATGGGAAGCATCCCTGGTCGACTTGGTGGAAAAATCACGGATGAAGAATGTAGGAAGATAAAAAGGATTCTCATACACGAGCACTACCTGATTCCGCACGTGTTTGATAATCTAAGAGAGTTCAAGAGGTTCGAAGGATTGGAAGAATTGGCCATTGCTTGCCATCACGATGATATAGTTGGCATGAGGAGGTACGGATATATGTTTGCGCAAATGTGTTTTGACAAGGTAGACGAAGTTGAACATGGCTGGCCGATACATTGGCCAAAACTAGTTTGCTCAGCCAAAGCCATGGGGCAATGCTCTAAACATTGGTGGTTCGACAGATGGAACGACAGGGCGATGTCCAGATCAGATCGAAATTGGCAAGATCAAATGGCAATGCTTGTTAGGGTAACAGCTAGGAATGATATCGACCCCGAGGTTTTTCACTACAATTCGCAATTCCTACGTCTCGTCTTGGGAACATAATAGAAGGATTGCATTGTCCAGTGTTCTGTGGTTGGAAAGAATTGACATTGAACTGCAGCACAGAAATCAAAATATGAATATAATTAATACCGCTATCGTCTTGCATTGATTTTCAATCACTTGAATGTAAAGAATAGAATGAATAGGTACCGTGCAACTCATCTCTTTTGAAGGATTGAAAGAGTTGCAAAGGTTTTAAATCTTGCCAGAACATTGGAGCCTGGCGAATCCATTACAATTCCGCTTATGTAAGTAAAACTAATAAACAACCCTGCAATGTCCAATCCGTTCTGTCCTGCTGCGCATCAACAGCTTCAAAAGCTTTTGATAATCGGACCAGTGAATTATCAGAGCTGCAAGTCTTACTTGCCCTCTATTTTTCCTGTTCAAAAAGATGTGAACTTTCAAACCTCCAAACTTCCACACAAATCATCTCAAATTATCAATGACTCCTGAAAGCAATGAACAATGATTTCACATCAGTATCGGGCCCATCGGCATCCCCTCCCAATGGCAGAAGTGGGCCATCGAGCCGGCGACGTCGACATCGCTCCAGGACTCCTGCTCAAAAGAGAGCTTACGAACAAATGAGAAAGAAGTATGAGTTAGCAAGCTCGTTGATGGCAAACCTGGATTTTGCGGTTTACTGCCAATTATGCGTGTTATATTACATGGAGTATGTAGCTCTCTCTAGTCTTCTTGGTTTGCTTAAGCTAACATATGCACAGCTGCTCGTTCTTTCAACTCTTCATACGTGCTCTCACACAATTTGTTATTCTCACGCCAAAGCCGAAGAATGTTAGACAACCGCCTCAAAGTTCCTCGTGGGCTATAATGCTGTTGGGCACGAATATTCTTTGTATATTTTTACACCTTTTTCTTGCGCCGTCGAGGTCTACGGAGGAGATGAGAGGGTATCTCCATGGAGGAATTATCATCGATCTTATTGGTCAAAAAGGACCTTCTTCAAAACTGAAATTGGTAGCCTTGGATTTGCTTGTATTGATTTTACAAGCCATATTATTAACGGTTCATCTGGATAGAGAGAAGCTTGACAAGTTTCTAACGGCCTATGGAAAGAAAACCACAGATGGGCAAACACCACTCCCCACACAAGATTATGATGCAGAGGAACGAGGTGTATTGAGGGATCCTGTTGCCGGGTTAGAGGATATTGAAATGCAGTCGCTAGGTTCCACAAGAGCTGTCTCTCGCCCGCAAAATCAAGAATTCACTATAGAAGAAAATGAGCAAGATGAACGAGAAGAGTTGCTAGCTGAGCCGGTGAATAGAGAATCGGATGATGGGCCATTGGATATTTTTTGGACAGGCACCGCTGTTATAGGGGAATTCAGTGTTTTGAATACCCTTCGCAGTCAGTTGGCTCTCTCAGGGGCCGCTTCTGGGTCGTTACGAGCAAACTCTTTGTCTGCTAATGTCGCTGAACTTACGGCAAGGAACCCGAGGCTTGATTTTATTGCTCGAAGATTTCAGCGCAGCTTGCAATAATCCACTAAAGATACACAAAAGGAGGTTCTACATAATCTGTTAAGAAGTTAAGGTAACTTGCACATACTACTATATATGGTAAATATTTGGTATGAACATGGATAAATAGGTGATTATTGGCTTTATTATGCTACTGTACGCCTCTGCCAACATTTCCCACTCCTGTGCCCTTAACGCTTACTATGATATCCTCGCTTTCGTCTTCGTCTACATCTCGTAAACCCCAACTACTTGCCCCGAACTTTTTTAGATCTCTTCCTAGAGTTATTAGGTCCTCTGAGGCTATTATTTCTCGTCCTAATCTCAATCTGCCGATATCCTCTGAACCCATTGCCATCATTGTCAGTACGGTGGGTGCTCCAGCCTTCGTCACGCACCCTCCCTGTGATATAATTTCTAGCAACTGATATGCACACTGCTTTCCAATATCTTCAGGCGCAACACCTCCTGCACTCGGGGAAACCACATCCGCCGTATATATTACACCCGCAGAACTGGTCTCCGCAATCAACGCCAACCCGAAACCTACTCCAGTCCTCTTTTTCGCGCTTGGATTCGTTTTGTCTTTTGCTGATACTAGTGGCGCTTGATCGTACTGTGTCGCAATATGAATATCTCCCACCAATGGATTCAAAATTCCCCTAGCCTCGTGTATCATTCTCGCATTATGACTATTGCTCACACCTGTCGCATATGCCACTCCTCTTATCCTCCTTACCCTTCCGGGACTCCTGTTCAAATGCAAAGTTTTAGGTAACGCCTTGATCTGGCTTCCAAACCGTAACTCCACTACACCTCCACCGCCCTTGCCTCCCGCACCCGGACAACTTCTCTGTAAAACTCTAATTTCTAATTTGCTGGCCATGATTCCGAATGGTTCGTAAAGTGGTAGAATGGCCGTTCTGACACTATCCACTGATATATCTCCCGCTTCCGTTGCACTTGTGATAACTCCTTCTCCCTCAAACCTTACATTGACGGCCTTCTTTGCAAAAGGCGCAAGCATACATAAAGGCAGCAAGAAATAACTAACTCCCCGAGTATTATTCGCCGGCAAATGACATTTGATCACTCCATCCACATCTGCACCCAATCCATCAATCGATCCAGCTATAACACCTGGATTATAGACCAGCGTTGTACCGGTGTAAGATATTTGAACAGACGATCCATTGCTGACGGATTCTAGGAGGCGCAAGAAGGATACTTCGTGAGGTGCAAGACCCGGATTGGTAGGTGAGGAGCTTCGGATCTGTGAGATATGAATTGGGCGGCCTGTTAAAGCAGAGAGGACGAGTCGGTGGCTCAGAGACTTGTGAGTTGTAAAGCGAAGAATTTCGGGGGTAGGGGCGGACATTGTATATTGATGTATGAGGTTTTTGTTAATTCAGTTCGACAAAATTTATTTTTGCGATAAATCATTCTGCCAGCAGTGACTCCTGATAAGGAGGCGGTGAGATCCGCATTTCCCATGCATACCTACTCCCCCCTCGTACATTCATTTACTACTAGGTATCTCGATTCGCTCATTCTTAATTTGGCGTGCCAGTTCATGTTTAGCAATAGTTCAAAAGCGTTCAGGCTCTGAAACAACCACGAGCTTTTTCGTGCCTACATGATGACAGAGAATCCGAGATCATACGGGTATTTGAGGTATAGCTTTACGATATCACATTCACATACACGCAAGTTCTCTGCGATCTATTGAGATCTAATCAGAGAACGGTCAAGTAATTTGAGAATTGCCATTATTGTTTTCATATCTTATTTGTGATTTTGGGCCAATTTCCTAACGTAAATTGAAGAAAACCTTAATGTCAAAGAAGAAAAGTGAGCGTTCATCCGGGCCAACTTGAAAATCCGCAGTCAACTCCCCACGCATCCGCCATAACGTGCTTTTCAGAAAAGGAAATTTGTACAAGGGTGATTTGTGGCATTCTGAAAAGCCAGGGGTTAAAAGAAATAACAATCCGATAGCTCTTAGTGTTACAATGGGAACCCGCAAAGCAAATGCAAAACTATCAACCTCAAGTCGGGACGACGATGCCTGAAAAGACGACGACTGGAGACATGAAGGGGACCAATTCTGCTCATTAACCGATCTTGATGTTGATCGCACACGCTGGCCGCAAATTGTTTGGCCTAAGCTGGTGTATTTTTCGCTTTCCTCAGAAAGAAAATAATCATGCTTCTGATTCAACAGCTGGTGCTTCCGCTTCCTAAAATTCTATTAACATTTTGTTGCCCCAATTGCTCTTCAACAGGACTTTACCTTTGAAGATTCTTCTGCGACAGGGGCGGGGTCGTCATTGTTGGCAACCTCTTCTTTGGGTAGTGCGGTAAGTGGCGTGTCTAGGGCAGGTGATTTCTCTTCTGCCTTTGACTCATCGGTTTGGGCGATGCCATTTGCTGCCACGCTGTCTGATTTTGGCTCATCTTTCTCCTTACTATCGTCCCTGGTGCCGTTGGCAGGGGCCTCAGTGGTAGCTGGTGCAACCTGTTCGCTAGCGAGAAGTCTGTTCCATTTATCAAGTAAGCTCTGAGACCTTGATTTGAACTGAAATTCGTCTTCTTTGGGAATGACAGGTAGCTTCAAAATGGCCTTGAGAACTTTGTTTATTTTGGTTGCTCTGATGATGCTAACCTCGAGATCGGCATAACCTTCGAGTTTGTTCACATACTCGGACATTTGTTGCATCTCATCTGCCTTGGGCTCTTGGTCTTTAGTCAGAAGACCTTTTTGAAGTTTGTGCCTCAAAAACAGGATCTCTTTCTAGAAGAATTGTTAGATACAACCACTAAAGTGTTAAAGGAATTCAACAAACCTCTTTCTTGACCCTCTTCTCTTCTGGGGTGAGTTCTGGCTCGGGAGGAGCGACAGGGGCGGTGTCTTTGGTTTTCGCAGCAGCCTTCTTTGGCTTGCTCTTGTCCTTTGCGGACTTGGGTTCCTTTGCTTCTTTGGCAGGCTTTGGAGTAGATGTACCATTCGCAGCCTTTGGAGTATTGTTTAACTTGATACGAGGCTTCTTTGGGGCGGTATCAGGCTGCTGCTGGGTTACTAGGTTAGTCTTGATAATAGTAAAAACTCATACTACAGTGGTAACATACTGTATCATCTTCGGGAACCTGTGAAGGGTTTTTGCGCTTCTTCTGAGTTGATTTTGGTACTTCGACCTCCTCGTCATCAGGGATAGCACTGACGTCCATCATCTCTGTGTCTTCATTATCATCCAATTTAGGAGCAGCTTTCTTTGGCGTCTTTTCTTTCTTCTCTTTCTTTGCCTTCTTGGCTGCCTTTGCAGCCTCTTTGGCTTCCTCGTCCGCTCTCTTCTGCTCCATGAACTCTGTTAAGACAGTTTTGAAATAATCCAAATCGTTTTTTTCGGCAGCGAGTTGATGCGCAGCATACAAATCTTTGCGCATGTTATTGGGAACGTCCCCGACTGTATCTAGGTCGAGATCAAGGAGATCGTAATTTGGTATCCAGCCACTAAATTAATCAGTAAGATTCATCTAAAGAAGTTTTGCTGAGCGCTACTCACAATTCATTCGTAAAAAGATACATGACAGGGAAAGTTCTGTCTTTAGCCTTAGAACCACCATCTTCGTAATCACTTCTGTATGTACCATCTGCTCTCATTGCTGTGACTGGGCGAGATTTGATGAGGGTGCTGGGAAGCATATCCTCGTCGCAGACAATTGCAGGCCACAAAGGATATCCCTTCAATCGCACATAGAAGTAATCGCCGGGTTTCGCATCCGTATGCGTCAATTTCGCCTTGGATTGCTTTTTGTTCAACTTTTTCTTGTGTTCTGGCACGCCAGACTTACGTCGGCCCTTTGACTTGCTGGCTGAAGCTGGTGTGCTAGCGGCACCATCTGCTAACTCTGCAGACTCATCCGCTGCTTGAGCTCCATCCTCTGACTGTTCTTCGCCCTTCAATTCTGCATCGTCGCCATCTGCGGGGGTAGACGCGGATGGCGCCTCCTGCACTGAGCGATCGGGAATTGTTTGTTCGTCCATTTTCTCGGGTTTGGCTTCGGCGTTGCTACTTTTAACTAAACAAATAAGATTAGCAAAAGAAAAGTGATGGGAATTGAGACAATAGAAAAGCAATTGTACCTTCTTCCGTCGCGCTCGTACCGGAAGTCGCGACTGGATCGTCGGAAACAGCTTCGTCCTCAACACCATTGCTACCGTTGGCGCCTTCCGACACATCGGCTTGGGGCTCTACAACAGCATCTGGAGCTGAAGTGCCTGGGGACTGAGGGGGCACCACCTCATCTCGCGTGCTTGCCTCATCCGCCATCGTCGCGACACAGCTTCAAAAAAGTTCAATGATATATGTAAGGCGTATTGGTAGGATAGTTATTGACGCGTAAGGAATGCGCGAGATGATTAAGATAATCGCGGATAAATAATCTGATGGAGGTGATAACTTTTTGTTGCTGCTTGGGAAGAAGGAATTCTGGAAATCAAAATGTCGCTTGAAAAGAAGTTACGCCTGCGCGCTAGTGAGGCAATAGTCACGTGGTGGTGCGGTGGATTCTGTACACAATACACTCTCGAACTACCCCCAGCCTCCCGGATATTAGTCGGAGAGGGTGACGCGAAAAGTGAGTTCCAGATAATAACAGTACAGTAACAAAGCTGTACTAACTTGTAATTGAATATGACATTCAATGTCAATGGTGAAAAGGTATAGTTGAAGAGAAAGAGATGATGAAAGAGAATTTTTTGACATACAAAATAAAGAAAAAAGAATTGAAAAAAAAGGTTGATCAATAAGACATCAATGACAGAACCTTCTGTCGTGTCATGATCAACACACGAGTAAGAATCTGCCCACTGTTGGGCCACCTTCTGACGTAGCCAATCACTTTGCGAGCGGCGTCCGTGGCACAGGCAGCACAGTCACAAATTTCGAACAAAACCCAATGAGGATGCGGAATCCAGGGCAACCCCCGAGCAAATCAATCAATCTCGAGATATGCTTTTGACCAACTAAACCTATCTATTATACAGCAATGCTTCGTCGAGACAAAAGGGGGAAAGTGGCTCATTCTTCTTCTTCGTCTTCTTCGTCTTCATCTTCATCCATTCCTTCTGCGACCGAGACATGGAAACTGGGATCTTGGTCGACACCCACATAGCTGTCGCTCATGAGGAACAACTTTAGATCATGCTCTCCAGGTGTTGGGACTGTATATTCCAACCGAAGGTTCAACGCTTTCCCGATTGTAACCCGTTTGATCGCAAGTAACGTCTTCGTACCCTCATCGCCCACGACTAACCACCAATTCTCCATTTTCTTTGCGGGGTAGAAGGGAGCATGTACGGACATATCCACCTCTGCCGCATCATCATCTTCGTCAACATCTCGCACAATCTTGATTTTAAGGTAAGCTGGTGATCCAGCCACAATCTCCTCCGGATCCTCCACTTCAAAGTCAAGCTCAATGTTAGGATATTTGGAATTCGTGAAATTAGCTGCCTGTGCCAATTGTGTTTGCGAGAGACCAAGTCTTTCAATGAGAGCTTCATAGTCTGAATTTTCGGAAGGATCCATTGCGTCCATAAACTCAAAGATGTCCTTGATACTGTAGATTATTTTGATTAGCGGAGGAACTTGATCAGTGTAAAAATTTAAAACTTACCCAGATTCATTTGCAGCCTTGATAACCTCGGGCGTAAAGTGAGGAATCTGTTTCAAAGGACTATCACGGTCCCACATCCCTTGTACAACCATTTGCGACATTTCCATGGCGTTCATGGCGTTAATGTGACCGTCTGAGGATAAAACATCCACAGTAGCACTTAAGAGACCAAGAACTTTCGTTAGAATAATCTCTTGATCCTTAGCGAGATCAATTGGTAGCTGCATTCTGGAGAAATGGGCTTGAAGTAGGACAAATGCCTTAAAGTGCGGTGAATCAAAGCTTGGCTGAGCCATCTTGACCGGAAGTCGATCATATACTCTACGTAGCAGACTGTCTTCGTGTCTTCTGATCTGAATGGTTTCGAACTCAGTTGCCGAAGTGACAATCTCCAAGATACCCTTGAGCTTAGTACGGCCAGTCAATGAAAGCAAAAAGGTCTGCATTGTGACGTATGAGATATTGTAATAGGCAGCAATCATTGCTGCGTTTAGTGGAGTGACAGAGTCGTCCTCTTCATCTAAATCAATGATCTTGAACTCCGCCAGATCTTTCAGAGTAGTTTCTACAAGCTCTGAGAGATGAGCACTAAGACCTTCATGGGATGTGTCTTTGAGACTATAGTAGCTGGGGTTTGCAAGCAACCTTCGATAGAAGTACGTAAAAGTAGTCCAGTTGATGGCATCGCTAGCTGACTCGATCATTTTGGTACTGATCTCAGACACGAAAGCATCGTGCAAATAAACCTGAAGATGACTCTCGATTGGAAGAGCTTCATTCAAAAATTTCTTGTAGTACTCTCTCTTAACAGCTGGTACCATTAAAACACCCCTACTAATTTTGTCCTCCAAGGGTCGTGTTGCTTTGCCGAACATTTGCAGGATCTCGCTAAGAGGATAGTCGACGTAGCGGTGCTCCCTGCCTTCATAGAACTGCGTGCCCATCACAATGACCAGATGTGCTTTGCAATCAAGTTCCCAGCAAACGTCACGAGACGCTACCATTACTTGTATTGCCCCATTATCATAAAGATGTTTCACGATACGTTTATCGCTTGTGCTAAGAGCCTCGTGATAATAACCTATGCCATGCGAGATAGATTCTGCGAGAGCTTCTTCTTGGATTCGTTCTAATAAGGGCTTCATTTCATCCACATTGGCGTGCAAGAAGCGATCTTCATTGTCGCTAGCTAGGCATGCCAGGAGTAAATCACGAGTTGTAGCACGGGCTTGCTTTCTACTAGGAACAAATACAAGAGCAGGCTTGTCTGACGACATTTGATTTATGGCAAGGTAGGTTGGCTTTGCCATGGCAAGCATGAGAGAGGGGAAGTGGGGAATAGTGAACGACTGAATATGAAGCTCGAGAGGAACTGAACGAACGTGAGGACTAAAGTTGTAGATGTTGTGCTTCTTAGCATCTATCCATTCTCCAATATCACGAGCATTGGCGAGCGAAACACTTAGTCCCACGATTCGCAATGGCAACTCGGTTTGTGATCGGATATAATGCATGCGAGATACAATGATCTCATAAACAAAACCAGCCTGTCCGCCAAGCATGTGCAATTCATCTGCGATGAAAAGTTCAACATTCTGCACGTTCTTACGGCGTTGCCATTGTCGCGATAGAACATCCCATTGAGAAGGTGTTGCGAGGATTAAATCACCTCTCTCTAGAAGTTTGAGGTCGGCAGTGGTTTCTCCTGTGAGCTTCACAATTTCTTTGCCTCCGAGAAGTGTGGGAAAACGCTTCTGCCAATCTTGAAGCCGAAGATCAACAAGTTCTTGGAATGGAGCAATATAGACAGCACGCCCTGCGTCACCCCTTTTCCAGTGATGGAGCAACGCAAATTCTGCGCAAACTGTCTTGCCACTTCCGGTGGGGGCTCCAACAAATACGTTATCATCAGAATCAAAAAGGGATTTAAATGTTTGTGTCTGAATCTTATTGAAGCGATCCCAGTCTGGGTACAATGATTTGAATTCATCGAATTTTAAGGCTGCAACAGGCAAAGGCTGTAAATCCAATAATGGTGTGTGAGGTGGAAATTTCTCGGGCAAGATGAGTTTCTGGAACGAGACTGCAAGCTTTGTTTCACAATTCATCCATCGGTCTGAGACGACAGTGATGAAATAATGTGGTGGCATGGGCTCTGTGATGGGGACTGTGAATTCAATAAGATGCTCGTTCATTTCAGCTTGAGCAAAATCTTTACGAAGAATGAATTGATCGTGGAACAGAATATCCTCGCCGTCACAATCTTCAGCAATGATCCAGAAACTTTCCGCAGCACCATGGATTTCGTCATCCCACTCAAACTTAGGTGTGATGGTCAGCTCTACTCTCAGCATTGATCTCGTCATCGGTTGCACTTGTGCCTGAACTTCTAGTCGTGGGAATTTTGCAACAAGACTGCAGACAGTTCGGCCTGCTTTCGGGAGACCTAATAATTCACCCATGCGCGGCGGATCAAGATCGAAGTAGTTGGCCCATGAAACGTCAATTCTTTCGGCTTTTTGTATGATGTCCCTAGGACATCCGGGGAATTGTCTGAGTGGTGACATGGTTGGCCACATGCGCTTTTCTGCCATTTTGCAAAGCTCCAAAGCTGTCCTGGCTACCGAGGACCACCCCTTCTTAAGAGTGATTTCGAAAATAGCACGCAAAATTCTTCCAGCTGACTGGGTGACGTATACCAGATCAGCCATCAATGCTAGTCCATCCAATTTTAACCTCGAAACGTAAGCCTGCAAAAGCACATTTATCTTGGCATGAGGCTCCTCGACACTTTCTTTCACAGGAATTGGAACACGGCCTAGAAGTTTGGCTAGTTCCAACTTTTCTTCTTGGCGAACTGGGATGTACTTGAATTCGTCACTCAATGCAAAGACGCGGAAGAGTTCTATTGGCGTGATCGATGGTTGGAGGTGGTGGTTGTAAGTCAACATGGAGTTGTGTGTAATATAATAATGAGATGCAATTCTACCAAGTTCAGTCGCTTGTAGTTTGCCCGTCTTTTTGTCGTATTTGATAAGGTTAGACTTCTCTAGCACTATAGCCGCAGAATGGATCAAATCAACTCGCTTTTGCTCCAGGGCACTGTCATCTTCGTAGTCGGCTCCTACGCTGTACAACCCTGGTGACCGCAGCATTCGCACGAATAGATAAGTGTATCCTAACCAGTCAACACCTTCATCGCGACTACGGACATTACCAAGAACAACCTCTGCGTTTAGATTGTCTACCAATCTGCTCACAAACTGACTCTCGATTGGCAATTGTTGATTCAAAAGTGATAGATAATACTGCATCTCGTTCTGGGTTGTGATGATGATACCTTCTCCGTATGTGTCATATTGTGGACGGCCAGCACGCCCGAGCATTTGGAGTACATCTTGTGGACTCAATTCCACCCAACTTCCTTTCTCCGGTGAGTAGACTTGAGTGCCTTTGATGATGACAGTATGTGCTGGTAAGTTAACACCCCATGCCAATGTAGCAGTACAGACAAGTACTTGAATTAAACCTTCATGAAAGAGTTCCTCAACAGATGTTCGATCTGGCCTGTTCATACCAGCGTGATGTATTCCGAAGCCATAGGGTAACAAGTCCTTGAGCTCTCGGTCGCTGACCTCTTCGGCCTCAGAAGCGAGAGTCTCTCGAGTTCCTGAAACATCACTCCGCAAAATCTGTCCAATTGTCTCCATTTCTAAGGCTTTGTCTCGAATGTATCTAGCTGTTTTGGCGGTCTCCTTACGAGAGTGTACAAAAATAATCATCTGGTTTCGATTCGTCCCTACATGCTCCAAAACCTTGGTATAAGTCACGTCATTCATAGTCTTCAGTTGTTTGATGGCCTTCTTTTCTGTTATTCCAACAAATTCCTGACGAAGTGGACAAGGACGATACGATCCATCAAAATGGAACATGCCTTTTAGAGGATCAACGCGTAGAAAGCTTGCGACGTCACGGTAATTTGGCAATGTGGCGGAGAGGCCTATCAAACGAACAGGGTCACCAGTCTGCTCCACCTTTCTGATCGTCCGGCTCACAATACTTTCCAGAACAGGTCCACGGTCATCATGCAAAAGATGGATCTCATCGATAATAATGAGACGGACCAGGTTAGTGTAACTCAAATCAGTAGCTTTTCTAGTGATGACGTCCCATTTTTCAGGTGTTGTCACAATGATTTGGGTATCGGCAATTTGTTGTTTCGTGAGCTGACGGTCTCCAGTCAATTCAGAAAC